GTGTGTGTGTGTGTGTGTGCGTCTGCATAAGTTTGTTCTAGTATTTGTCAGTGTCTGTGTGGGGTAATATGATCAGTAAGTGACAGCTGAGATAAAAAGGTGTCTCCAGTCTCTCTGTCCCTCACAGTGAATATACGAGTGAGTGTGCGTGTGCATAATGAGTGAGTGTGTGTGTGTGTGTGTGTGTGTCAAGCAGAGAGGGAGAGGAGGAGAGATTAAATGGTGACAAGGGATCAGAAAGTAAAACCAGATAAATGAAAAATAAAAATATCAAATGAATAAAGATAAAAGAAATCTCCCGTATTATTAAGGAAATCATACCGGGTCTATTTACAAAACTATTTATGTCAAGTCATGATGTCATTCTTTTCACTTTTAGAAAATGAAGATAGGGACATTTGTTCCTGTACGGAATATTTATGAATAATGATATTGACTTTCTGTCACTGCAATAATCATGCATGTCAGGGACAGGGCAACACTAAGTGCATTACTTATGTGTATATATAGAATATACTGTTTGTGTGAATGTATGCATCCACCTGTGTGTCACCGTGTAGAGCCTTTCACACAGAGATGCCTTTTATACTCAGCACCGTGACATTTACTGCAATAATTACACACATGCACACAAATACAACAAAACACAAATGTACAGACTGTGAACACACACACACACACACACAATGTTTACTACATTGGATGAGTAAACTGTTGTATAAACAAAGACTCGATCGAGCTCAGTTTTCAGAACAAGTTGATGATTTAAAATAGCTGTAATCGTTTTCTACTTTACCAGGATTTTTCATCTAAAACACAAACTTTTGAATAAATAACTTCTGCTTTAACTTTATTTCTGTATCAGGCTGAAAATAAACAGGCGACAGGATTTCGATCATCTTGCCAGGAAAATAAAAAAATGAAGGCAAACATTTTTTAACATCATGTGAGAAAGTGGCCATGAAGAGTAACACCGTGTGTGTGTGTGTGTGTGTGTCTGTGAGCGTGCCCTGTACCTTGCAGCTACATTTTCCCGTGCGATCAGCGCAGCCACAAACTCCTCTCTCCAGGTCGCAGGTCTGGCTGTCCGATCCGGAGACGTCACACTCGCACTGGGTGCACTGTGGGAAAACGTGGACGCAGACAACGCCAAGCTTCTGTTATCGACAACGCAGCAGGCTAAGCGAGGAGCCACCAGAGTGTGTCCTAGTTTTATGCTTCACCAAACCATTAAACTTCAAACACTACAGAATGAAAATGTCGTCATTATCTTCTCTCTTCCCTCCAGAGTCAGAGGAAACATCACTGAAGTTCAGACTCAACGTGGAGCTTATTTATACCAGGACCGAGCTTCTGCTGCTCCAAAAACTGTTTTCTCGGAAACTTCGGAAAACTTCTCGACAGAATTAAGTTCTGTTCCTATTTATGAACCCTGTACTTTAAATTAACTACACAACAGATCGAGAATACTTCTTTTAAAGTCTCTCTACATTGTCTTAATAACTTCTTGTTGTTCATTTGGAGGATTTACCTGAGGAAAGTCTCTGTATCCAATCTGACATTCATTACATTTCTCTCCTCTGAAGGAATCCCGACACAAGCAGCAGCCCGTGTTCATGTTGCACTGCTGCGTCACTGAGCCGACCACACTGCAGCCACACTCCTGAATACACACACGTGCACAAACAGAAACACAATATGGACACACAACAAACTTTAGATCACACACATAAAGTCACTTTTGTAGGTTTTTAGACTTTTTAAATTCCATTTTGTTTTACTGTATACGTCTGAACCTCTAAATACATTTGTTCTTTTTTTTAATCCACAGCTTTCGAGTAGTTGATTCCCTCTTTATATAAACACTGACCAAAATGTTCGACACAAGCAGCCTCAGTTTTTCACATTTAAAAATTGGATGTATTTTGCTTCGTTCCACTTTGTTCTGCAGCACTAAGATCTGTTTCATTCCTCTGTTGTCGTCCTCATGCACTAAACTGAGACTTACAGCACTTTCAGGTTCGAGCCTCTAATTGCTAATAGTCTATTACTACTCTTGATAGTTTACTGTTGTTGCTGCCTGGCGGCTTCTCCAACAACTTTGAGCAGAGCAAACAAGCACTGTGATAATAAGGAGGAGGAGGAGAGGGAGCATGGAAAGAGAAGATGAAATGAAGCTAAAAAAGAAAAGAGCAATGAAGAAAGACTAAATTAAAAACTAAGTGATCAAAGTTGAAACACAAATTAGAAGAATTAGATGAATGCTACATGTGTAAATCGAGACTAAAACTGGATTTATCATTGTATTAACTTTTCGTTTATGTGGCGTCACGTGTAAATGACACTGGTGCTCTTTCCTACCTTGCATCCAGTTATTATATCATGGCCCCAGTGGTTTGGAGCACAGCGGTCGCACCTCTCACCAATAGTGTTGGGAGGACAGATGCACTGTCCTGTGTTTGCATCACAGTTATTTCCCACATGGCTGCACTGGCAGGCTGAAAGAGAGAGAGCGAGAGAGAGGGGAGGAATTAAATGGAATTTAATAAATAGAGAAGAGAAGACAAGATATATAAATGGTTCTGAAAAACTCTTCAGTGACAGGTTTTCTTTTCAAAGCTTGCGTGATTTGTTTTTCATGAATTTGCTGCATTTTCTTTTATGTGTAGATTAATGACAAATATGGAATTTTATGCACTGACAACTCAATCAGCCACGTGAACGACAGGGAGGCATGAATCTTTGTCGATCAATGTTTGTCGTGGATTAGCAGGTGATTAAAAAATTAAATGTTCCAGACTGTCAACGCAGCAACACTTGGAGATGCAGTTTCACATTTGCAGAAGTGGCGACAATAAATAAATCCATCTCCAGTTGGTGCACAGTTGATATCCAAATACATACTGAACAACTAATCAGCCTTTAATTTGAGCTGTGAATTCAGATATGTGCTTTTTGTTGATATATGAAAATGAACAGAACATCGATCAGCAGCCAACGTCCCTCGACAACATTTCATCTTTGAATTATCTGCAGATTCTGGATCTAAATGATTTAACCTGATCTTTATTGTTTCCTCCTTCTGTCTTTCATGTGCCTCTTGCTTTATGTATCTATGTATACGTATAGATGGGAGGTTTGTTTACTGTCTCTGTGTAGAGTTTAACAAGATCCTGGGAAGATTCGCTCATCTATTTATGACGAAGTGTCAAAAATAGAAGATTGTCACTGGCATTATAAACGTAGTAGGAATATATACATAACTACTGCAATTCTGCTTTTAGAACTATAGGAAGTTTATCCAGATGTCAACAGAATCATCTCGTCCATGTGACGCTAGAACAAAAGAAATGCCCACATTGACAAAGGAGACGTGCTTTAAAAGAAAGTCAGTGAAATTTTTTTTCAACTATTAGCATTTTTGTCCTTTCCGAGTGTTTTAACTCTGTCCTACTTGTGGGCAAAAAAAAGATGCAGTTTTACAGTAATTATGAAACATGAAAGACCGCACTTGCTTTTTCTGACATGACATAATAGCTTTTCTCACAGAAGCACTCCGCAGAGAATTTGTGTAAACTTTAAATTAAAAAGGAAGAAGAACAGAGCAGCACTTTAACCAGGACATTTTGTGATGCTGACAGTGCTTTCATTGCAAATTACAGGAAGTACAGGACAGAACTGCATGTTTTCAGAGCCACGCTTTTACTCTGTGGGCTAGTATCACATCAATAACAAAAACACAACCCCCCCGTCTGTCCTGATGTCTTACGTGTGCAGCCGCCCTCTTGGAAGTTGAAGAATCCTCGAGCGCAGCGGTCACATTTGGGTCCGGTGACGCCCGGCTGACACCGACACTGACCGATTTCATCGCAGTCGAATGACTTGGAACCGAACGAATTGCAGTGACACGGGACGCACTGTCCGCCTGTGCTGATGCCATGAGTCTGAGGCTGGAGACACACAATTACACACAAGGTGAGTCATAGACTGAGCTGGAAACAGGTGGTGGAGGAAGAGTGCGAAAAGCTGCGGATGCACAAAACAAGCGGGTTACAATGTTGAAGAAGCTGTGAAGACTAAAGACCGAAATAAATACTTGAGCATGAGGCAGAAAAATGAAAAACCAGTCAGCAGCAACAAACATCAAGGTCCTTAAAGAGGTTCATTTCTTGGTTGATTCCTAAAAAGCATGGTGATGTAAAAATAATCGCACACACGTTAATGAAACCTTTGCACAAAACACACCCCTTCATGCATCGATTCAAAATCCCGGACCGAAACCTTCGACACCAACAAGAGCACACACGATGTGCGTTAACCTGTTCGGCCTCTTTCTCTGCACTAATGACATGATCACACACCAAGTGAACAGCAACACACTCATGCTAACCAACAACACACCACTGTAAACCACGTGCAGGGTGTGTTACCCCTATCTTAGGCTTGTACGCCCCCCGGGGACAACCCCCCGTGCGGGACGGCCCCGCCCATCTCTGCTGAACAGCCTCCACTGGAACTCTCTCCACGGGCCGCCGTGTCTCACGCCTCTCAAAACCCTGGCGACGCAGGTCACAGCTTCGGCCCACGAAGCCGGGGCGACAGATGCAGCGGCCCTCGACGTCGCAGCGCTGAGACATAGAGCCGTGGGGGCTGCAGCGACAGGCCGCACACTCCTGACGCTCAGCATCCCACCAGCAGTTAGGCTGGGCCAATCAGAGCACAGACGTGTGGAGCGAGGGGCAGACAGGGGACCAATGAATGAAGTAACACTTTTCATTATTATTGTAAGTATCACATGAGTATTACAAATATAGAGATATATTGTACACAATAATACAAATGTAAATGTAAAACCTAAGCGTCTGGTTGTGGCCTCATAACCAACATCTGAACAGCTTTACATCAAAATCCACACAACTTGATTTTTGCAGGATTGTTTCAAGTACTTACAGGCTGTATATTTGTCATACTACCTGATTTATAGTACCTCAGCAGGTACTAGTGGTCAATTACCATTAGAGGGAACATAAATCAGCTTTTACCCACGAGACTCGCAACCATATTGTTGCTTAATTAAAACACAGATTTGATGCAAAGTAATGAGAAACATAAGGTGTAAAACAAGTAAGAGCAAAATGAAAACAGATGAATTTGGGTTTGTGATGCTAGAAAACTGTTCAAATGAAACTTACAACGAATTGGGAAAGAACCTGGAACATAAAAGAATCAATAGTCTGGATGCTGGTGTCTCTAAAACAACTTACCATGCACTCGTCACACTGGCGTCCAACCGCATTGTCTTTGCACTCGCACTGTCCAGTCTCCTTGTTGCAGACCTCCACTACTGAGCCATTGGTGTGGCACTGACAGGCTGCAGGAGAGGAAGAGGAAGAGGATCAATTTTTACATCAATTATGATTTTTTTCTTCATCATTTCTATTACAACACATTCAACAACAGCACAAGTTTGTCAGTGTGTTTACTTGACGCCGCAGTCGACCGGATAAGAGCTCAGATCCAGCTTATTCGGGATTAGCTGCAAATATGCACTTTAATATCCTGCTCGCCACAATTTAGAGAAAATCGGACTTAGTTCTTCCACGATGCATTTAGAGAGAGTAAATGTGAGAGTAACTGAGCGAAGCAAGACTACAGCAGAGAAAAAAACGCTTTTTGCTTTGTGCTCTGGAATGACAAACCTAGATAAAAACCCAGCACAAACTCATTCCTGCTCATTTGAGAGAAATCTTAAATTACATGTGTCAATACAAAAAACACTTTTGTCGTCATTTGCGGCCCCTTGAGTAAAAAGATGAAGAGTCCATGATGCAATGGAGGAGGCAGCACTTTTCAACAACACATCTGTTTTCATTGAGGAAAAGTGAAGCGGTGCCCGACGATCATTTGTACATCTTAGGTTCTGCTCCCACAAACTATGGGAGAGAAAATGTCACAGAAAAACATCCACAGCGCCTGGAGCACGTACAGATGTTATTTATATAAATTTAATAATCCGATCATTTGCAATAATCTCCCCTTGTTAACCTTTACTTCTGTTTCCTTTCCCGTCTGCGAATCGTTAAAATGGAGGGAAAATGCAATTAAGTTCTTTATACAACTACGAAAAGCAAACAGCCAAAGAGACTGAGTGACGTGTTCTGTCTCTTTATCGATCTCCCTCAGCTTCAGCTTCAAGTTTAAGTTTATTCCTCTTTACCATCCATGTTTCTAAAACAACAGCTAACACACGCTGGTCACACATATCTGGGATAAGGACGAGGCTATGATATGACACGTTTCAAACCTGCGATTTACGATTTCAAAAGGAATGAGAGATTATATGACACCAAATACTGAATAACATATCTACAGATTGTCAGAGGTGCTGGATCCAAACCAGGTGCTGGCTCCAATCTGGGAGGTCCTGGGTTCTGTTCCAGCAGGATTCAGCACAAACTAAATCCTGCTTAGACGCTAAGACGCCAACCGTGAACCACAATGTCCCCAGTTTCAGTCTGGATGGAGACTCTCTCTCTCTGTCTCTCTCGTCCTCTGCCTCATTTCCTGTCATCCCTCTTTAAATGCTTTCCTGGATTAAGATCTTACACAGCAATTCTTTACAGAGCATAAGAGAGAAACTGTTTGTGATGCACTGAGACAAAGCAGCATCACCAACAAAACATAAATATCCTTAAAAAACACAAGACCTAGATTTATTAAACGTCAAATTGAAGCTGTTTGTCTTGATCTTCACTGAAACTTTATAAATAATCATCTCACGGGTGGATAACACTCAGTCTGTCGTGTAGTTGTTTGCACAATAAGTGGGCAATTTCCAGGATATCAAAACTATTCACCTTAGACTGTAAATAAAGACGTTTCTCCTACTACTACAGGATTTAGCCTCTAGGTGGCGATCAAGGTGCTTTATCTCGTCAAGTCGTCCGTCTTTATTTAAAGCCCATTTTATTCACGTACAACTGCTCTGATCTCTTTCTCTTCTTCCGATACTTTAATTTATGGGTTTAAAATCGTACTGAGGGAAAAAGACTCACCCGCAAACGCCAATCAACCTCTTAGATACACAATTAAAAGCTTGAACATTGCAGCTCCCATCTGGAAGACGGGCTGTCAGAAGCACACACACACACACACACACACACACACACACACACAAAAAACACACACACCTTCACAAGAAACTCCTAGCACACGCACATCACATGCCACTCTCTCCTCTTAGATGTAAGAGAGACACAACAGATGTCCACACACACGAACACGCACAGAAATCTGCAGAAACACATTTACGCCACACAATATATATATTTACACACACAAAAATGCCTGCTCTCCCACACACACATGAACACACACACAACCGCCTGATTAAACATACAAGAAAACATGCACATGTACTGTACGTCACCCAGTATCTCACACACAGTCTCCCACCCCCCAGGTTTCACCCTTCGGGGACCATCTGGAGTCCGTTCTGTCAGTCGCCACAATAAAAGCCTTCTTGTTGGATTAAATGTTGCTTTACCGTGTGTGTGTTTGTGTGTGTGTGTGTGTGTGTTTCAGAGCTGGCCTTGATGCTGGATTTCTTGCCTGTTTGGATACCCAGCAATCAGCCGTCTGTCATATCATCCGCAGGAGTGGTTATTGTGCATCTTCTTTTTATTATTAGCACTACAATGCTGCGTCGGTGACACATCCAAACATCATATTATCCATTAAGTATGCAGACTTTACTTTCAAGGCCACAAGCGAGGTAAACAAGTAAAACATCATGAACATTTTCGGTATCAGAATATAAATGCTGAGATGTGGCATTCAGGAGCCTTGAGGGGAAACGACACAGCCCGAAGATTGTGCACTAAAAGCATTAAAACCTTGATTATCTGCTTGATATGCGTGTTTCCTGTTTGTCGAGATGCTACAGCGCAAAGTAGGTTTGTGTCACTTGGTTTATGAAATTAAACAACATCCAAAATATAGAAAAACTGCCAAAGGGTCCATTTTTCTCATTATTTCTGTCCCCACTCTGTAAATGCAGTTACACCTTAGAATTTACAAGCAGCACTAGAAACCATCATGTAGTAGCACAGTA